AACCTCACAGCATCAATAACAAATGCACTAACAGTCTTAAGGTAACATGATTTACTTCTGCTATCACATTAATTAAGGCTTCAACTTCAGTTCTGACTGAACTTTGACCTGCCAGGCTCACAGTGCCAAAGGTGATGTTAGAATGAATTGTAGGAGGGCAGGTGGTGATGACTGCAAAGGAACAGACCAAGAACAAGAACAGGGAAACAGATCTGAGCTACGAGCCAGTCCTCACCGACGTAAAGCGAAATGTGGACATGAAGAAATTAAACTCAGAAGGAAGACGGGACACGGGGGGGCTGGAAGAGAGATTTAATTTGTGAGACATAACAAATGAGATTAATTCTAAGAGAAGCAAGTGACTTTAACCAGACAGTTATGGGGCTTGTGATGGTTGAATCTCATACGGTTTATTGTACTAGTGAGCGAGTTTCCTGGAGAAGATAAAGAAACTCTCTGACCTGAGGGGGCCCAGTGTGCACCAGCGCTCTGCCACCCGACAAGTCTGGTCTGTTGTGCGCTGCTGTGCAGCTCTAGTCTCCCAATTCCTCCTCTAATAGGGGTGGTTGATAACCTAAGCTTTGAAAAATAAGAGCCCTGTGAGCGTACTCATTCCAGGACATTTGGGAACTCCAAGAGGAAGGGTTACTAATAACCGCGAAGAGGCCTCTAGTCCCTGGTTAAGCTGCTTAGTTTGATCATTCATTTGAGGGAGGAACCAGAACATAAGCTCAACATAGCTGCCAGATCGTTTTCCACACATGTGAAACTAATTGGGGACCTCTGCCAAAACAGTCTGGGCCAGGAAGCCAGTTTTCAATGAAAGGGGCTGACTGGAGAATCTTTAAATCATGGAAACAATCAGAGTCTTTTTATTAGAGGCAGGCAGACTAGTGCAATATGAAACCAAGATCTACTGGGAGATGAGAGATTGCAACAGACCTGAGGGGGCCGGGAAATGCTTTCACTATGAGCACATTACACAGGCTGCTATGTGTTCTCTTACATCTTTCTCTAGAAAGGAACATTTGACAGAAAGGAGGGTTCTGTTTATCTCGAGGGTGGATCTTTGATGAGGCTGCAGAACAGTGATGGTTGGGGGGCCAATTACCTGGGTCTGGTTTGCATGGCCTGTTGGAAGGTGTCCTCTATTTCCCATTCGAGGGTGCCTACGGTTACTACACCGTTACAGCACAGTTACAGCACAGTTACAGCACAGTTACTGCACAGTTACGACACAGTTACTACACAGTTACTGCACGGTTACTGCACGGTTACTGCACAGTTACGACACAGTTACTACACAGTTACCGCACAGTTACTACACAGTTACTACACGGTTACTACACCGTTACAGCACAGTTACAGCACAGTTACGACACAGTTACTACACAGTTACTGCACAGTTACGACACAGTTACTACACGGTTACTACACCGTTACAGCACAGTTACTGCACAGTTACCACACAGTTACTACACAGTTACCGCACAGTTACCACACAGTT